TTTTGCCATATCCGTTCCGTGGATCCGCTCCATCCGCTTCCGCATTTTAACCTAATTGTGACATGTTTCACAATAACAAGTCTGATTGACCTTTGACTTTATATTCCAATGGCAATGTCACATTGCGTTTCATGAGTCATTTTCAGCTTTTCGCGTGTATTCAATAATGTCACTTTAGATTTCAATAGTTTCACAGTTATAGCAGTGTTTATAGCAGTTTTAACAAGCTTTGATACGGCTCTGTGTACAGATTGATTCTCGTAAGATCTGGTAGAGTTATCGTTGCACTGAACACGAGTTTGCACTGTTGACGTTGTGGCGGTTGTGCTAGACAGTAAACAAAGTAAGTCCTTGACGGTACACGTTGGCTACCTCCTTGCTTTTTTCTTCTATTGCATAAAGCTTGTTGGCAAGCCAAGCGATTGGCGATAACACGTTGGCTATAACTCCTCGTCTTTCTTGTTTAAATAGAGCTCTGCAGACTCAACTGATTTTTTTTGTCTCGATCACAACTCACAAGTTATTTTCGTCGTAAACGCCGTACAAACATCCGCTTCTGTTTAATAGTTGTTTACGCTTTGTCTGATGCAAATTTCGCTCTTTGTACTAAGTGTAGCCATCTATTCTGTGGTGTAGCACCTTATACAGCCAATGTGGCCAATGTATAATGAATACACGGCCTAAACAATATATCTTCTGGCACTTAATTGGGCGCCGGTAATGCATAACGTCATCAATTTATATATTGCGTAGAATCTGAAAGATTTTCTCAATATTCATGTCTGAAATGTTTATATATTTGAAAACAACACTCTCTCGCACTTTCCTACCTCTGTATAGTGGGTATACCGTGAAAATAATATCGGCACTCAATTGAATGCCTAGAATCTCAAAGATTTTCGACTCAATATTTACGTCTGAAATGTTTAATATATTATATACACTTGAAAAAAGCACTGTCCTAGCTCCTTGCTAGCTCTGTAAAATGAATATACCGGTCTAAATAATATCGGCACTTAATTGAATGCATTATTGCATAACATCAATTTATATATTGCGTAGATTCTCGAAGATTTACTCAATATTCACGTCTGAAATGTTTATACATTTCAAAACAACACTGTCTCGCTCCTTCCTAGCATCGTCACGCCATCGTGATCTACGGCTTGATAGCGCATGCGCATTTGCGCTGCTAAAGAAAAAATCGGGTGTTCCGGGGGAAAAATCCTTTACACAACATGAGAAGCGCATGTTATAAAATTTACAATAACGACAACAATTCCTCGAATTTCTTGTAAACTTGGCAAAAGACCTAAAGAATATTTAAATAAGACAACTAAAATTGCCTAAATAACCTTCAAAGCACAGACTAAGTACGATAAATCACTACGAACACATACCGTATACACCCCCCGGAAAGTTTACTGTATGACTGACTGAATGAATGAATGACTGACTGAATGACTGACTGTTTCGTTTGAATTTCCCCCCAGTCATCACAATACTGTGAAGTTTCGAAGAAACTTACTGAAATCTGGATACTTTTTGCTAAAAAGTATCTTTTTAGCCACAGACGGCCGTGGATAAAACACAGACGGCCGTGGCTAAAAGTATAGTGAAATCTGATATACTTTTTAGCCACAGACCGCAGTGGCTAAAAAGTATACTGAAATCTGGTATACTTTTTAGCCACAGACCGCCGTGGCTAAAAATATAGTGAAATCTGATATGCCTTGTAGCCAAAGACCGCCGTGGCTAAAAAGTATACTGAAATCTGGTATACTTTTTACCCACACACCGCCGTGGCTAAAAAGTACACTGAAATCTCGTATACTTTTTACCCACACACCGCCGTGGCTAAAAAGTATACTGAAATCCGGTATACTTTTTAGCCACAGACCGCGTGGATAAAAGTAGAGTGAAATCTGATATGCTTGTTAGCCACAGACCGCCGTGGCTAAAAGTATTGTAAAATCTGATATGCCTTGTAGCCAAAGACCGCCGTGGCTAAAAAGTATACTAAAATCTGGTATACTTTTTACCCACACACCGCCGTGGCTAAAAAGTATACTGAAATCCGGTATACTTTTTAGCCACAGACCGCCGTGGCTAAAAAGCATACTGAAATCTGGTATACTTTTTAGCCACAGACCGCCGTGGCAAAAAAGTATACTGAAATCCGGTATACTTTTTAGCCACAGACGGCCGTGGCTAAAAGTATAGTGAATTCTGATATGCTTTTTAGCCACAGACCGCCGTAGCAAAAAAGTATACTGAAATCCGGTATACTTTTTAGCCACAGACCGCCGTGGCTAAAAGTAACCGCGTGGCTAAAAGTATTGTAAAATCTGATATGCCTTGTAGCCAAAGACCGCCGTGGCTAAAAAGTATACTAAAATCTGATATACTTTTTACCCACACACCGCCGTGGCTAAAAAGTATACTGAAATCTGGTATACTTTTTAGCCACACACCGCCGTGGCTAAAAAGTATACTGAAATCTGGTATACTTTTTAGCCACAGACCGCCGTGGCTAAAAAGTATACTGAAATCTCGTATACTTTTTACCCACACACCGCCGTGGCTAAAAAGTATACTGAAATCTGGTATACTTTTTAGCCACAGACGGCCGTGGATAAAAGTAGAGTGAAATCTGATATGCTTGTTAGCCACAGACCGCCGTGGC